ATAATTATGGTGCTAAATGCTTTTGGCTATAATTTTCATTGAAAAGTGTCACCTATCTCTGTTTGTGGTAATACATTTATTTGTAAATGATTTGACTTGAAAAAAAAAATCTAAATATTTCAAATCTGTAATATTTATTCTTAAAGGTTTTTTCCTAAATAATGTCTTAATAAAATTAATTTTACATTAATTTTAGACATTTACTTAATTGTATACTCACAAAATATTCAAAACAGAAATAATTTAGTTTTCTAGAATTCACCCTTTTCAACATACTTATTTTATTTTCTAACGTTTACTATCAACAGTGCCCTTATTTTATGGTATTGCATAAAATAATCATCAGAATTCAACAAGAACAGGTGACCAGATATATAAAATAATTTATTGCTGTCATTGTCAGACTTGTGGAGCCGACTGTTTTTTTTTACGGCTCTATTGCATAAAACAATCATCAGAATTCAACAAGAACAGGTGACCAGATATATAAAATAATTTATTGCTGTCATTGTCAGGCTTGTGGAGCCGACTGTTTTTTTTTACGGCTCGGCTCCAGCTCCCAAGAAATATCTGGCTCGGCTCTGGCTCCCAAACTTTATGAACAAAAATCACAAATTTTGGAATATTTGTTTTGATCACATTTGCTAACCCAAAACTATAACCAATTACAGCAATTAATTTTTAACCAACTCTCATGACTATAAGGTTATTGTATTACTATCAATACTTTACTCCCGGATATTACATTTGAAAAGAAAAATGTTTTGGGTAAATAAGCACTTTTTTTAATTCTTTGATGTAAACATCCGAGTTTAAAGTTGATGTAAACATCCGAGTTTAAAGTTGTGAGTATACAATTAAGTAAATTCTTTGATGTAAACATCCGAGTTTAAAGTTGACGATGTGACAAAAGCTGGAAATCTCAAACCACAGCTGCATATTGCTTTAATTTAATCTTTAAAAAACTCTAGAACTTTATACCTTTTGTAGCTGCATATTGCCAAAATTTAATCTTTAAAAAACTCTAGAACTTTATACCTTTTGGCTTGTTTTCTATTCGATAAGCCGGGCTTTTTTGCGTGAATGATCATTAAATACTAATTGCTGCTTTCTTATCCTTAAAGCCAATCTTTCTTCCAGATCGTTTTAATTGTTCGATAGATAGAGAGCTTATGTATTGTTTTATGACCATACAAACAGTAGTTTTGCTAGATTCAGATGCTTTAGCGATTGAAAGTAACGATGGAGAAGGATTTTGTAGATAGTTGTTCAGAATTTTTTTATGTTTTTCTAACTGTTTCAATGACATTTTAATTAAGAGAAGCATTTTGACTCGTTGATGTTTTTAATTAATACTACAATTACTTAATGTAATTACGACAAAAAAAATTAATAATGTGTTAGTGACAAGTTTTAAAACCAAATTCAGTGTTAAAAATGAATTTTGTTTTAAAACTTTTAAAACGATATTCATTTTCAAGTTTTAAAACGAAATTCACGCATAAAAAATTTAACAGCATAGTACAGTATAAAAATATAATATAAAACAATATATGTAATACTGTAATGTTTCCATATATAATTTACTTTTTTTTTTTTGCTATTAAATGCTATTAAAGGATAGTATTTTGTTGAGTACAAAGTCGTTAAAATAATCATTTTTATTACACTTTAGCAAAACCGTAACTGTTAGAAAAAATATTAAAAAAAAAAATAGAAATTCAATAAATAATTCATTCAACAAATTAGTTAAACAATAAATGAATAAAGTTTGTCTTGAAAAAAAAACATGAGGGCCGAGAGCCGCTTGATTTTTGTGGCTCCGGCTCTAGCTTCATTAAAAAGCTCCACAGCTCCAGCTCCGCTCCACAATCCTGGTCATTGTATACGGATTTTTGAGTTGTAAAGATAATCCATCTTTTTAACTAAATATTTTGATATCATCTTAATAATAGCTTAATCATGAACAAGGTGCATATTTATTAAGAAGCAAGTGATTGGTAACAATAGAATAGGACTATATTGATTGTAGAGTTCTAAAGATACATTGATTGTAGAGTTCTAAAGTTTCTGTTATCAAAACTTGCTTTACGAAAGGAATATTATAAAGGCTGTAAAATCAAGTTTTTACTTAAAGCCTAAATTCTATCTTAAGTTTTTACTTATCTCAAGTTTTTACTTAAAGCCTAAATTCTAACTTAATAGAGATACAGCAAAAAAAAAATTCCTTTAAACAAGTTTAAGACCTTTAAGTCAAATTTATAAAAGTGTTAGCTAATATTTAATTCTTTTTTTTTTTTTCCATATTAGTTTTAAAGTGATTAAATGTCATGGAAGGACATGTCACAGAAAGACAAAAAGTACACATTCATGAAGTTATCATATAGTTCTGTTTTAAACAAACAAAATCAAAATTTTTATAGATTTCATAGATTTTTTCATCATTGACATTGTCAATAACTTTCTTCTTCTTCTCTATTTTTTTTTCTTATGTCAATGATTTAAAAACATCTGATGAATTTTTAAAGGTGCTGTTTATGTATAAGTCAATAAAATTTGGGTTCAATCTTTTGACATGGTGAACCTTTAAAGTTCCATAAGTGTAGATGCTATTATTTAAATCTGGAAACTCAATACCTTTTGCATCTAAGTAAATCACTGTATTGTCACACAGACTATCCGCTACTTCAAAAAACTGTTTAGCATTTTCAATAATAACTTAGCTGACAAAAGTTCCCTGTAAACTTGATTTTTAATAATTCTACCAAATCCATCATGGCGTCCTTTAAAGTGATGTGCCTCACCATAACTCTAAGTCAATGTAATGTTTTTAGGGTTATAAGAGAAGGACCGAAAGACAAATTGAGATCGGAACTGACCACCACATCCATCACTCCAGAAATGGAAAGTGAAAACTGATGGAGCATACCCTTAAACATTCTAATAAGCTGGTTGTTGTTTGTAAATGCAACATTGCGATTATGCTTCGTTCCATTTGATATAATTGCTCCAGGAAACTTAATTAAAATTTTTATCAAGTTTACCATTTTGAATTTTAATACTTTTATGAAAGTAACGAGCTGCTGTGAATATGGTAAAATGTTCATGCCCAAATTAAGCACTCTGGATATTGTGGAGTTGTTTATTTTTATAGTTTATTGAAAAATCGACCCTGATTATTACTTCATCTTCTTTGAGATTTGTCTTTAGCCATTTTAAATTGAAAGCTGACAGTAAATATTATATTTATGCATTTTCATTTTTCTACCATTGACCATTTTTGATAAAAGCATGGCAGCTTCCAGTAGCTTCTTGAACTTTGAGAACAACCTTTTTTGAGGTTATCCAACGGTAATATGGTAAAGCATCAATTTTGTTCTCTGTCTTTTTTTATCTTAGGTTCATATTCTTATGTGTTTTCCTTCAAAAGTTCTAACTTTCTCTTCTTTAGCTCTCTTTTTTTAAAGGCATTTCTCATTATTAGTTTCTTTCAGTCTAAATAAATATTCCTTCTGTCTTTGTGAACCTGGGTTTTCTATATTTTTTTAAATTAGTTATGGCCTGAAAGTAAAAAAAAAAACAAAAATCCTATCATGAAATATACTGTAAAATAAACTTAATCAAGAAGTAATCCAATTGTCACAGAAGGATATACATTCATTGTCATAGAAAGACGCCTAATTCAACGCCTTTAAAAAATGTTTACCATATATTGGGCTTGCTCTGCAATTGAATCTTAGTAAAGTCCGTTAAAATCTAATACTCCGAGGAATTTAAGAAAGTCATAACTTATACAGCCAATAAGAAAAAACTTTTTACCCAAAATTTGTTATAGAAGGATTCATATTTTTTGTATAAAATGTAATGCATTTTTTTAAGAAAATGTAAGTCTTTTTTGTTACACAATACTTGTTACACAAGTACACCATACTTATTTTCCTAAAAAAATAGTGAAGTTCTTCAAAAAAGTTAGATGCATATTAGATCTTCCAAGTTTATTTTATTCTGTTTGTCTTTCTGTGACAATGAATATGATTATAGGTTGACATTAATGGCTTGATGTGGACAACTATATTTATCTTTAAGGTTAAAGTTGTAAATTTAACTATTCTGCTAATGAAAATTGTATGTTGAAATAGTTAGAACATTTTTTTCTCAAGTTTTATGTCACCACCTTTCAATCGTGCCCAGCTAAATAATGGTTTTAAAATAATTTAAAATTATAAAACAAAATAATTTTATTAGGGTTAAAAATTTAAAACAAAATAATTTTGCACTAATTAAGAAAATCTTTGGTTTATTCTTGGAATCTAATTTTTATAAAGCTTTTTTATATTGCATTTATTTTTAATACTACATTTATTTTTTAAATTACTCTTGCTTTTTATATTACACTTGCTTTTTATATTACATTTTTTTTACTAAAATTTTGAAACAAGAAATTTTAAAACAAAAAATTTTAAAACAAAATAATTGTGCACTATTAAAGAAAACCTTTGGTTTATTCTTGCAGCATAATTTTTATAAAGACTTTTTATATATTACATTTGTTTTTTATATTAGATTTATTTTTTAAATTAGATTTATTTTTTAAATTACAATTATTTTTTTTATTACATCTGTTTTTTATATTAAATTTATTTTTTAAATTACATTATTTTTAAATTAATTTTTTTTTTATATTACATTTCCTTTTTATATTACATTAATTTTTTTTGTTACTTTTATTTTTTATATTACATTTATGTTTTATATTACATTTATGTTTTATATTACATTTATTTTTTATATTACATTCATTTTTGCAGCTTTTATTCATGGTTTTAAGTCTAAACTGATATTCTTTAGAAAAAACAAAAGCTATTCTTTAGAAAAAAAAAAAAATTTTTTTTCCCTATGGGACATTTATTATTATATAATCATTATGTTTTATTATAACTTGTTTATTTGATGTGTTATTAATTTTCTTATATATATATATATATATTTATTTTTTTTAGATGGCTTTTTTAATAATCTTGGTGCCAATACGTCTTATTTTGTTAGGTTTTACTCTTCTTGCTGCAGGAGTAGTTGCAAAAGTATCATTGATTGGATTTAAAGAATCAAATCCGCCTGTGCCTATGCACAAATTTCGAAGGTATGGTTTAAAAAATGATAATAAATAGTAGATTTATTGTGCTATGTAAAGATTGAAAAAATTTTACAGTTTTTTTTTTTTTTTTTTTGAAAAAGGGACTTCAAAAGTCTTTCGGAAGTTATGTTGCTAAAATATTGTTCAATTGAAAAAAATTCATTTTTAATGAATTAAATTTTTTTTTAATCTGTTTTGATTTTTAAATTTTTTTTTTAGTTTTTTTTTTTTTAACATAGTTTGTCAGAACAATTATAACAAATATATTAATTAAATTTTTACTCCATAAGGTGACAAATTGTTTCATATTTTTATCAGTATTAAGCTTTTAATTTAAAGACTAGTTTATTCAATTAATGGTTCACAAAAATTATGAGCAAAGTTTTAACACAATGAAAATTTGACTGTGCATGAGTTTTCAATATGAATGTGAAATTAATAATATTTTAAAATATTTTATATTATGATATAATAAAATATTTATCATATTTATAATATAATAAAAATATTTTATCATATTTATAATATAATAAAAATATTTTATCATATTTATAATATAATAAAAATATTTTATCATATTTATATAATAAAAATATTTTTTTATATTTATAATATAATAAAAATATTTATCATATTTATAATATAATAAAAATACTTTACCATGTTTATAATGTAATAAAAATATTTTATCATATTATAACAATAAAAATATTTATCATATTATAATATAATAAAAATATTTACCATATTTATAATATAATAAAAATATTTTTTTATATTTATAATATAATAAAAATATTTATCATATTTATAATATAATAAAAATACTTTACCATGTTTATAATGTAATAAAAATATTTATATATATATAATAAATATATATAATATATATATATAATAATATTTATAAAATATATGTATAAATATATATATATATATATATATATATATATATATATATATATATATATATATATATATAATAATAATATATATATATATATATATATATATATATATAATAATATATATAATAATATATATAAAATATATATATATATATATATATATATATACAGGGGTGGGACCGCAAAATGTGAACGTTTTTGTTTTATTATAACTATTTTCTCGTTAGATGTAGATGTACTCTCTCACTCATCAGAAAGTGTCTAAAGAGTTGTTAAATATGAACTATTTTAAATAAGAATGTCCAACCATTGGACATTCTTATTTAAAATAGTTCATATTTAACAGAAAATTAATTATTACAATCAGAAAAGTGTTCACATTTTGCGGTCCCACCCCTGTATATATATATATATATACGAGGTGTGTTCAAAAATTAAGGTGACTTTGTATTTTTAAGAAAAAATATTTATTTATCAATATTTATTTTGTCCCCTTCAAAGTAATCCCCCTCAGATACAATACACTTATGCCAACGGTTTTTCCAATCCTCAAAGCACTTCTCATAAGCACTTTTCGGTATAGCCTTGAGCTTTTCCAGAGATGCAGTCTTTATCTCTTCAATTCTCTGTTGCAAATCTCCGTCCTTTCATAGGTCTCTTTAGTTTTGGGAACAAGAAAAAGTCACATGGGACTAAATCCGGTGAATATGGTGCTGAGGCATGATTTTGGTGTTGTTTTTGGCCAAAAAATCTCTCACAGGCAAAGATGAGTGAGCAGGGGCATTATCGTGATGCAAAAGCCATGAATTATTTTTCCAGAATTCTGAACGTTTTCTTTGTATTGCTTATCGCAAACGGCGCATAACTTCAAGATAATACTGTTTATTGACTGTACAACCATATGATAATAACCATAATAACCATATTACCATGGCATGGTAATTGAAAAAAACAGTGAGCAAAACTTTGTTATTTGATCGAACTTGGCGTGCTTTTTTCGGTCTAGGCTCATCTGGGCTCTTCCATTGGGATGATTGGGCTTTGGTTTCAATATCATAACCATATATCCATGATTTGTCACCAGTTATGACCCTTTTGAGTAAATCTGCGTCGTAATTGACGTCATTCAACAGTTCTTGAGCGATGCTCATGCGATGGTTTTTTTGGTCAAAATTGAGCAATTTCGAAACAAACTTCGCTGACCAGCATGGAAAATAAGAAATCAAAGGCGAGCGGTCAAATTGACTAGCTAATACATAAAACTTTAATTAATAACCGTTTTATGAAATACTTCTATAATACTACTATATGTTAATTAAAACGAAATTTTATACTGATAATATATATATATATATATATATATATATATATATATATATATATATATATATATATATATATATATATATATATATATATATATATATATATATATGTGTTTTAGAATTCAGTAGAAGAAAAAAAAAAGCAAGCGCTTATTTGGTAATTTTAAATTTATCTAAATAATAAAGTTAACATCTTATTCACTCTGCTTTAATCAAACTGAGTCTTTAAACTAAAGTCTTCAACCGGGTGGACGCATAAAACAACTCAAAGCGCAGTTTTTTCGAAACTGCTCAGAAAGAAAAAACTTCCTCACCAACTGTGTTGTCAAAGCGTGTTGAATGCTTTGACAACACAGACAACTCAAAGCGTGTTGAATGCTTTGACCTAAAATGCGGGAATTCAAACAACCTCGAAAATTTCAAATACGAATTTTCTTTTCGCCGGCATCAGAAGTATAAACGTAATTGAAATATAAAAACTGTATTTTCATCACAGAGCGGCCTGGTGTGCCGCTCTTTCTTAATAACTTAAAATTTTATTGACTATGAATAAATTAAACTTAAAATAAGAACGAAAAAAAAAGTCATTTGTTAAATGCATTTTGCAACAAAAAATTATGAGAAAAATAAATAAAAAGATATAGAGAGAGCAAAAATAAATTTAGTGCTTAGCTAAAATCATCAATTATTGTATATTATATTATTATTAAAATAATAATAAAATAAGAACTTAAATCAGTTAAGGAAAAAAACACTCAATAAAATTGATCTCAATAACTGAAGCAAAAAAATTAATATATATAGTTTACGCCATATATAATACTTGTCAAAGCATTAGCGAGTATTAATAAACAATGACGAATTTCACGTTGCAGCGATGCGAATTTTAATTCGCTTCAATCCAACAAAGTGAATAAAAGCAGTTTTATTAATTATTTCTACTTTAAAAAGTAGCATATAAGCAATAAAATTGTTTTAAACGCTTTATCAAAGTTTTACGGTGTTATGAAATCTAAAAAATTTAAAATTGGGTTTAACAAAAGATTTTTCTGATTTTTCTGACTAACTCTGATTTTTCAACCGGTCAACCTTGACCAGCTAGAATTCTTTTTGGGAGGTCAAAACAGCAATTTCAGTCATTTCGGGCGGTTGACCGCCCGTTATTTTCCACGCTGTCGCTGACACTAGTATCATGTCCAAAACGTTAGAAAAAATTTCATGGCACGAGCCAAGCGATATACCAACATCCTCAGCAACTTCTCTGATAGTGATTCGACAATTTTCCAAAACAATTTTCTTCACTGCTTGAACATTTTCATCAGTTGTTAACATGGTTAGGTATCCAGAGCGAGGCTTGTCATTGGCATCTTCCTGGTCATCTTGAAAGAGTTTGTACCACTTGTAAACATTTTTTTTACTCAGAACAATTTCACCGTATGCCAACATTTCAAGTGTTTTGGAGCACTTTATTTTATTTTTTACACAAAATTTGAAGCAAATCCTTTGATCCATATTTTTTAACAGCAAAAAATCGCCGAACACGCAAAACACTTATAACCTTTACGCCTCTCACAACCAAACAAAAAATGCTATACACTTGAAACTTGGTACAGATGTTTGAGAAGAGTGTACCAACATGACAAAACAAAAAAATCGATAAACGAAAGTACGTTGCCCGCGAAATTTAAAAAACCACCTTAATTTTTGAGCACATCTTGTATATATAATTATATATATATATATATATATATATATATATATATATATATATATATATATATATATATATATATATATACATATATATATATATATATATATATATATATATATATATATATATATATATATATATATATATATACATATATATATATATATATATATATATATATATATATATATATATATATATATATATATATATATATATTAGGGTGATCCAAAAATGACCAAAAAATTTTTTTTTTTACTTTTTGTTATTCCTAAGGTCTAAATGTGTTCATTTATTAAAGAAAACATTGTACCAAAAAAATCAGCCAAATCGGTTAATATTTAGAGGTCGCGCTGGGGCGATCTTTATACCCTCTCTAAAATTGGAATTTTCAAAAGTTCAGTAAAATATTGACCTTCGTTTTCTGTGCACATGTCGGTTATTTACTGTTCGATTTTAATAAAATAAAAACGAAAATAAAGCTCTTATTACGCATAATAGTTTTTGTTAAACAACATTTCCTTTTTAAATGCATATTAAAGCGGCAAAATAAATTGCAAACTAAGCCAAATTTCATTATATTTTATTATATTGGTTTATTATATGGTTTAGTTCAGTTCGAGACTTTATCAAGAGTGTTGTGATTCCTGAAATAAAATTACAATAGTTTATCTATTTTGCTTGACTAATAATATTAATTACAGTATTTTAAGAAAGTGATATAATTGCGAGTTTAAACGAAACTAATTTTGTTTGGAAATATAGGAGACAACAAAATATATTTTCATTCATACACTGTATTAAAGAAAATTTAAAATGGCTGCAGTCGCAAAGTCAACACGCAGTTCTACAGCAAAATTGTTAATTGGTCAACCAATATCAATGCTTTCCCATCTTAAGCTTCCAACGATTTTGGAAGTATTAAAATGTTTTTTCTTCCACCATGAGGTGAAAGGATTGAGTAAACATGAAAGTTCGGTAACAGTTATCAAATCAACTTGTGAAATTTGGGAAAAAGCTAAAATTCCTACAATTCGAAAGGATAATGCAGTTACAAGG